CATAAAGAGAGGATTAGAATCCACCTTAATGAAGGCCAACCACAGGGAGGGCCATCAGGGTGGCCACAGTCTTGAAAGGCACCTGGGATTAAATCTGGAAGACAGATCCATGGCAAATCCATGGCCGTTGAGCAGTTTCCATGGTTGCAACCTTCTTTTCTTATCTAGGAGGACAATAATTATCAGGTGCTTATTGGAGTCAGACACTGCACTGAGCACTTTGCATATACCACCTCAGGTCATCATTAAACCACCCGAGGTGGGTCCTCTTATCCTATTTTACAGCTGAGAAAATTGAGGCCTTAGAAGTTAAATAAAGAGTAGTTCTTAATAGTACTTATCACACAAAAACCAAAAGTTGTTAAATAATTCATCCAAAGTTAATCAGCTAGAAACAGTTGGAGGTGGGATACAAAGCCAGCATATATTGAAAAATTGAAATGTTACAGAGATCTATAAACAACTACTATGATCCGACAGTGAAAACTTCCCCACAGACACTGGGGCAATGCTCAATTGCCTATGGAGCAGTCCTAAGGCAATCCTGGGTGGCATCTCTCTCTCTCTGGTGCCAGGTTCCTAGACTCTAAGCTGCCTGGGAGGGGCAGAGACCAACAACTCCAGGCAGGAGAAGGCAAGGTCAGCAGAGAAAGTCAAGACCATAGACTTCAGAATTCTGGAGAATCAGGTGAAAGTCCCACGGGTGAGCCAGGTGATAGTCCGTCTGGACTCCAGGAAATTTCTTTATTCTGACAGGTATGGTTCGTCTGTGTTTGCTTGCCCCCGGTGTCCAAACTTCCCTTCAGTGTCTTGTGAACAAAAAAGGGACTATGTAGCAAACCTGGGGACTCAGGGCACTATCTGGGATACCTGACAAGCCCAATGACCAAAAAAACCACATGGATGGTGTGATCCTGAACTCCTGACTGGGCAGACTATGGCAGGCAGTCCTGTCCCAGGTCTGTCGCTTCCTTATTAAAGGCCAGTTTTCACTGAAACTGAGCTCTGTCCATTGCTCTTATGCCTGTAAGATAACCTGCCTTTGAAGTGTCAGAGTAATTTTCTTTTCTAGACCCCTCAAAACATTATCTTGCTCCCCATATACCATCTCCACGTGCTATAAATGTTAACTATCCTGTGCCCACCGATGCAAATGAAGCATGTGTTTCTCCATTTTGTTTTTTTACCCAATTTTACAGATTTTCCTGTTCTGCTTTCTCCTGCTTCCTTAACCTACCACCAATGGATTTCCTGCAACCTTCCTTACATTTTCTCCTTTGATTCTAATGTATAAAATAAGCTGTAAATATATAAAATAAGCTGTAAAACTTGCTATTTGGGGAGCATTTTCTCCATCCTTTGACATCTTGCTTTTGGGCATGTATAGTTTTGTGTGTTATTTGGTTCAAATAAACTCGAATAAAACTTTTCCATAGGCTGGACGTTCTTTTGTTGACAGTCTCAATGAATCAGAAGCTGTTAGTTCTGACAGCAACTTTAGAGAGGATCTAGCCCAATCCCTTCAATGTGGAGAACACTGGAATGCTTTCTCTTTGCTTCAGCAGGTCATCTCACCACTAAACACTGATGTGAGTTATTTCCCTTGATTGCAAAACCCAGAAAAGAATCTTACAACTACTGTGTGCATCCTTTGAGAGCCTCTGTCAAACCTGTCTGTAATATTTATTCCATTTGCAGAACCCCCTTTTGTGGTGGAGGCATGTGGGTGGGTAGGGGTTTGAGAGCAAAGCCGTGCATTTCTCTAATGTTGCAAACAGAGACTACTGTTGCCTGCCTGTCCTTCTGCTTCTTCCCCTGGAAGCCCCAGCGTCTCTGCCATGTTCAAGGCCAGCAGCCATCCATTTTGTCTGCCAGGCTCCTTATCAGCCTGCCCCACTGGCAGTCAGAGCTCAGTTGACTCTTTCACCTGCTGGCTGCTCATCTGAGGCACATGGTGTGTGGAGAACAGGCTGCCATGCAGAGAGGAGCCAAGACTTTTCCTCTCTGAGCTTAAGCAGATGAGGAGTAGCAGCACTGGCATGCTAGGTCCACCCCAGGATCTCATGCCCTTACTCTCCATTTGGGACAGCAAACATCTGAGCTCTGTGGCTACCATGGGGCAATGAGCAGAGGACAGGCGGGAAATGCCTGCAGAAAATGGAAGAAGTCACAGCTCTTCTGTTGCATTCGTAAGGAGCTAGCTAGGCTCACCACACTGCTCACTCTCTTCCAGGACTGTCCAGCCAACTATACAGCCCATCTCATGAGCTGCACCCTCTACCCTCCCCTCCACTTTTTCGGAACCAAACCCCTGATATCAAGAGCATGGTAGGTTCCCATAGCAATGGGACTTTTAACTGTTTCCATGGCAACCAACACCCAGACCATTTAGTTGCTAGTCAACTGACAGCTGTAAATGAATAGGATTCAGTTTAGAATTCAAGGGATAGGCCAGGAGATTCTCTTAGAAAAAGACACAACCACCCAAAATGACTCAACTTTGTCTAAAGATTCTTTAAGGCAGCATCTGTGGAGATCCAGCGCCACTTTCAAACTCAGGTCACACAACACTGCCCATCCCATTACACACACACACACACACACACACACACACACACACACTCATACACACCCCTAAACTGAATATCCCAGGACTTTAAATACTCCAAGCCCTAGTTCCTGTTCTGTGTTCTCTCCAAAGGGCCCTTGGGAAAAACACTTGTTTCAGATGACTATTACTATGGTGACATTTCTCACACATAACCCTTTCCTCTGTGTCGATCTCTTCCTATGTACCACAACCCTGTCCTCATAACCAACCCAGTCACTTAAGCAATATTTGCTTTTTGGATTATCTGATGCGAATGGCTATTTCCAGATCATCTTCCCTTAGCCTGAACCTCACCTGTGTCAAGCCACCCTCCCTTTATTGTGGGTGTTCTCAGAGAACAGACTGTTTTATCAACCTTTGCAAAGCATCATTAAGATGAATTTGTTTCCTTTAAGAAGTCAACTAAGATTTCAAAGCCAAGGAGGACTGGAAATTACTCCATGCTTTTTGCTTTTTATTGGCCTGATGGGACTAACTGCCAGGCCTCCCACCTAGCACTCCACCAAACCGGGGATATAGGTATTGTGTTCCCTTTACTCCGTAAGCAGGGGTGCCTCTCATTTTTTGTTGTGTTTTTTTTTTTAAATCATTGGAGTCTGGAATTCATGCAAGAGAGATGTGTCTAAGCCTCCATGGCTTGCTCAGTGGACGAGAAAAGTATGAGACTGTCGTTGGAAAGAACATGACCTTTTTTATACAGCCTAAGATTCAGTGCTTCTCAATGTTTTAATGACTCCGGGGGCACCTGTGAACCGTCTGTACGGAAGATGACCTTTCAAACTAATCCCCCCGCAGGAGCCCTAACTAGCTCACTGCTGCAGGATCCACGTGGCCTCACATTGGCCGGTAAACAGGTATAAGCTGTTGCGTTACCCTTCTGCTCTGACTGAAGGGTACAGGTTAGCGGAACTGCTTTTCTCCTGTCGTGTCCCATATGAAGGTGGGAGTATGAAGTGCAGGGTGGGTAGCCTTTAGCCTCAAAGGAGCTCAATGACATGAAGTCTTCTGGGGATCGGGAGAGAGCAGACAGGAGAACTGAGCTTTCCCGGGCACCTAACAAAGCTCCGTGCACAGAGACAGCCTCATTTTTCCAAGGTGACATACCACACATCAGACTGAATTTGCTATTCCTGATGTTTCTAGGTTAAGAACAATGCTTGTCTCCCAGAGTAACTGCTAACATACACTGAGTCTGTGCTATGCGCCAGGGGTCATGCTAAATGTTTTACATGCATCATCTCATTTAATCCTCAGAGCCCTATTGTAATTATCCCTATTTAGCAGGTAAGGAGACTGAAGCACTGGAGAGCATAGGGATTTATAAAGATCGCACTGGTAGTCTTATTAATTGGTGAAGCCAAGATCCAACTACTGGCAGTCTGAAGCCAGCGACCACAGAATCCCTTTGGAATTCTTACAAGTCTGATATACCTAGGGTCCGTCATGGGGAGGCAGAGAGGGCTGTCCCTCTGGTCACAACGTGATGGGATACACAAAAGGTCTTAGCTACAGAGCACAGTGGTTGAATGGCTCCGGGAATTAACTAGAATATCTTGGCTGTTGATAACTTTATTCCCGATCCCTGGCTGTCCCCTGGTGGCTTTCCTGGGAAACTCACCAGCCAAAGAAATCCAAGTGAAATTAGTGGGATGAAAAGAACTGGACCAAATGACTTATTTGCTGTATAAACACCCTAACCAAAAACAGGTAAGCCTTTCAAGGTCCACATTACACAACTCACTTGTGACTAGCGGGTGATCCCTGTGACAGCTACAAGCTGACTGGTAGTACACTGATTAAAACAGGCAGCAAAATCTATGCCCCATGACTACACTTGTACTTCAAAAGCAGGAAACAGGATTTAATTAATGCAACCATTACGTGCAACTTCATATGTCATTTTTAAGCTTCTAGGCTTGCCTCGTGGAAGGTTCCCAAAAGACTACTATGCTTCACGACAACTTGCAACTGAACTCCTCACCACCCCCACCCACTTCAATTCCGTTCCCTTGCCCTTTCAGATGTTATTATTCCACTAGGTGATGTTGGCTTTCACTGCTTATTTCAAGCACACTTGGTGGTATAAGATTATGCAAATAAAGCAGAACAAAGTCATTTCCTATAAAATACTAGCAGATAGCTAAGGTCTAACTGGGCAAGAAGGGGACAAAAGGCAGTTTCTCAGAGTTGTGTCTTTACTGCACTCTGGGACCATGGGACTGGTATCCATCCACCTTCCATGGATCTGGGGCAAATACTCTGAAAGAAGCGGGTGACCTAAGCACAAATGCAGGAGACTGCCAAGTTTTTATTTATTCAAAGGGACATTTCCAGGTGCATAAAGAAGTCAAATTAATGTTAAAAAAAATACCACACCAAAAACCAAACATCTGCTAATCAATTGTTGAATTTAATGAAAACCACCTAAGACAGAAAAGGAGAAATGAGATAACCACGGAGAACCAGCCACCCAGAGTTGAGTTTGTCGCAGACCACCTCCCCCTCTGCTGAAACGCGGGATACCACTGGAGACCAAGTCATTATTGTTGAGGCAGTGGAGCTGGAGGCGCTGTCAAGAGTCAGCAGGCTTGTTGCTGACTCAATGATGCACTGAACTCAATGAGGCACTTGGAGATTAACACCCCAGCTCGAGGAATGTGGTTTGGAACCTGTCCTCCCCTACAAGGGCCAATAACCTCAGGGCAGGTTATCTATATCCCTAAGCAACCTCATTCTGGTCCTGTCTGACTGGACCCTCCTTATTCCAACAGCAAGAAACACTGAAGACAATTAGGTCAATCCCTACACACTCTCTTCTTTCCTTCAACCCTTTTACAAAAGATATTACAAGGGCAGCAGTTCTAAGCTCTCCGGAAACAGGGTCTGAGATGCAGTTGGAGGTTGAGAGGCATAAACAGCAGTTTAGAAATTCCTTTCCTCTTATGGCACTGATTTAGTTTAGACTTGGTTTCTCCTCCCCTCCCTCCACTCATGCTCTCATCCCCAGATGGACATACTGGCATCAAACAGCTCTAGTTTTCAAGCTGTACTGGGATTTCCCAGCAGAAGAGACACTGGTCTTTGTCATCCCGAAGTTCCCACTTCACCACCAGTTTTATCTGGAGAAAGAGAAAAAGAATTAAGAAAAATGAAACTAGGATCTGATCTCAATCCAGAATTGGTTTAACTATGAATCCTAGGAGTACATTGTAATAAACTGCCCAATTTCTCACGCATTTTTTCTGAAATCATGGCATCAGGAAAGCTGCTTGGGAAGTGGACACAGCTTGTGTATTTAAACTTTAGAATAATAACCAAGTAAACTTATCAAATATAATTTCTAAAGCATTTTTTCCATAAATGAAGGTTTACATAAAAAATGATTTTACACTGAGACAATTTCTCTTGTATTTGGCAATCTGATTCAGCTTTTCCCAATTGTAACCATGAAGAGCAGAGATTGTTAAGTACAAGAAATTTACTTGTTAGTTGGAAATGAAACTATCAAAGCAGAAAGGATGTCTAAAGAAGTTTACTACCATATGAATAATTTCAGGAAGGATAATCCTTGTAGCATATAGTTTCAGTTAAATTCTCTAAACTGCTTTAAAAAAATTGATTTTAGAGAAAAAGGGAGAGAGAGAGAAAGATTGATGTGTGAGAGAAACACTGCTCGGTTATCTCCCACACATACCCTGACTGGGGATCGAACCTGAGACCGTTCGGTGTACAGGACAAAGCTCCAACCAAAAGAGCCACAACAGCCAGGGCTTAAACCATATTTTTATTTCTTTTCTTAAAATTCAACATTTGAATGACAGTGATACCCAGGTTTCTCTAACCTTGTTTTGTAAGTTTTTCAAGAACAAGTACACATTAACTACTGTTTCCCTTAGTGCTTAAATTAACATAGTTTAAGTTTAAGCTGTTTTTCAAATAAAATTAATTCACTTAATAACTACCACATAGAAAGTGCCTACTATCTATCAGGCCCTAACTAGACACTCTGCATAAATAACTGAGGCTCCGAAACGCCTGCGATTATAATGCTACTTTGCATATTAATCTACAAACCTGTCCCTAACCTTTAGGGTCTCTGACATCCCTTAAACATAGACTTGCTACATTAGAGACTTTTTAGGATGTTCTTTAATTACTTGCCATTTCTAGAAAATCAATGGCCAGATTGCTCCTGGGTTCTATTTGATTGGAAAAAAGTAATCCCTTTACTTCCTCCATTCTTATCAAGATTCATATTTTTAATACAGGTCCATTCCAGCAGGCTCTATTTTATAAATGTTTGGTAGAAGAAAAAGTAGGCATGGCAGGGTGAGTCAGAGGTGAAGATAAGTACGGGTTGGAGGGGGGTGGAGGGGAGAAAGAAGAGTGGAAAAAGCTACCTCTCTGCTATGGAGCTAACAAGCTACTTCTCTCTTGTTAACAGATTAATGGAGAAACCAGGATTTTCTGATGATAATGCTATGACAACTTGAAATCTTGAATTATTTGATATCTGACTAAAATCTTTTGACACTTTACAGGTTTTGAAATCACAAGACTTGGCTCTAAGTCAAGGCTGTAATATTCCTTTGCAGAGTGGACTCTGTTCATATTGCATAATACTGGAAGCTCAAATTTCTTCAACTGTAAAAAAGGGATAATATCATCTCTACAAAGAGTGGTCCAGTGAAATATCCTAATATATAAAAGCCAGGGCCGTCACAACCAAAACCACTGGACGACGACCGAATAGCAGGCTGCGTAGG